GCTTCAGAGCTAACATCGATCAGGAAATAGCACCCAGTTCTTCATAGAGGGCTTTTCACTGGAGAGAAGACAAGTCGACTTTATCGATTTAATGTTGAATTTATCATTTATTTAATAATTTATATGTTTAGTATATGCAAAAGACAAGACCACACATTCTAAAGTAAGTGTTAAAACAGACTTCAACAGACAAAATTAGCATGTTCTCAAACACTGCATATGACATTATTATGCCCAGCAATATGTGTACAATTTCTCATATCTACATATCATCTAAACACATGAATGACTAATAAGTGTCCATGATAAAGAAAATAGGCCTATATTTCTAAAAAAATAGTTTAAAACACAAGTGCCAAGTAAAAAAAAAAATACATACAATTTTTTTCAATTCATAAATCATCTAATTAGTCCACACAAAAGGTAACTGTGATTGCAGATAAATATCACAGAATCATATAATAATATTGTTGCAGCTTTCCTCTTGTTTCTAGGGTGACTGTAACACTACATGACATTTCACAAGCTGAACTTTGCCTTGACATAAAAAGGTCAAATTATGTAATATTTAAAAGAGACTTACTGTACAGACCTTGGCACAGCTAGCAAATTTAGTAGGCTATATATGGCTCAAGTTTTTTTTCACATGCTGTTTTCCTCTGTTGCAATGTATGGAAATATACATGATAATGTTAATGTGTTTGGTCTTCACGCAATAGATCTGCTGCTGCTGTGAGCATATATGTAATACTGCTGCTACACATGTGACATACAGTGGGTACGGAAAGTATTCAGACCCCCTTAAATTTTTCACTCTTTGTTATATTGCAGCCATTTGCTAAAATCATTTAAGTTAATTTTTTTTCCTCATTAATGTACACACAGCACCATCCCATATTTAACATACATGATATCACCCCATTACAGATCTAGACAGGTGGAGCTGTGGGAGGTGGAGGGTTTCTGAAGCATGCTGCACCTGTTACAGCAAACACTAGCCGAGTATTTGAATGTTGAGCAGCGAGCTCACTGAGTAACAGTTATAGTCCGGAATTATCCTGATCAGCCACTGCATGCTTTCATTCACAATTCTGAGAAACCTGCTGGGGAACCATCAAAGTGAAGTGTTTCCACAAAAGAGCAGCAACAGGAGCATTAGACAAGGACATCTGAGATCACATAATAAAATCTGATCATTTGTTTATTTTTTTTTCAGTCTAATACAGTTGTGATTGTAATCCGTCCCATTTCTAAACTTCCATTTTTATCTAAAGTTTTAGAGAAGGTAGTTCTGACTCAAATTACCCCATTTTTCCCCAATGACCCCATTACCCCAAATTACACTCGAATTGGACATATTCCAATCTGGTTTCAGAGCTGGTCATTGTACTGAGACCGCTCTGCTAAAAGTGTTAAATTATTTATTATTAGCGGTTGATTCTGGGATGGCTGCAGTTTTAATTATGTTAGATCTCAGTGCCGCATTTGACACTGTAGACCATTCGATTATTTTAAAACGGTTGGAGTGTGAGGAGGGGTTTGGGGGAACTGCCTTGAAATGGTTTCAATCATATCTTACGGATAGAACATTTTTTGTTAATTTGGCAAATGTTTCATCCTCGGTGGTTCCCTTAAAATATGGCCTTCCTCAGGGCTCTATTTTGAGCCCTATGCTGTTTTCTTTATATATGTGTGCCCGCTGGGGTCTATTTGCCATCGCCACAACATTTCTTATCACATGTATGCAGATGACACACAGATTTATCTTCCGCTTAAGGTCGGAAATAAGCAGTCTTTACAGTCCCTGTTGCAATGTCTAGATGAGATTAAAGGTTGGCTCTCAAATAATTTTCTTCAGCTTAATTAAAAAAAGTCTGAGATCATAATATTTGGTCCTTCTAAGGCTAAAGAGAAGATAACTAACTCTCTTGCCCCCTTAGAAATGACAGTGAAAGACAGTGTGAGAAACCTTGGCGTCATAATTGATTCATCTCTCAGTTTTGATAAACAGAGTTTTTATCAGCTTAGAATTATTTCTAAGCTAAAACCTTTTCTGAGTTTTAAAGATTTGGAGATTGTTATTCATGCTTTTATCACTTCGCGACTGGATTACTGTAACTCACTTTATGTAGGGATCTGTCAACGACAAATATCTCGATTGCAGCTCGTGCAGAATGCCGCAGCTAGGCTTCTGACCGGCACACAAAAAAAGGGAACACATCACTCCGGTGCTATCGTCTCTCCACTGGCTACCAGTCAGATATAGGATTGATTTTAAGATTTTATTATTGGTTTTTAAAGCTTTACACAACTTGTCCCCAAATTATCTCACACACCGGCTAGGTCACTTAGATCAGTAAATCAGTTGTTGCTGACTGTCCCTTGGTCCAAAAAGAAGTCAAAAGGTGACCGTGCCTTTTCAGTAGTAGGTCCACAATTATAGAACGGTCTTCCGCTGTATATTCGGCAAGCTCCATCTATAGAGGTTTTTAGATCCCAGTTGAAGACACATTTTTTTAGTCTGGCCTTTGAAGTAGAGAAAGTTTGAAATGGGAACCTTTTATAAATGTTTGTTTACTTGTGTGTAAGTTATGTGTGTGTATTTTATTTTATCCTTAACTTGTGAAGCACTTTGGGCAACAAAGTTGCATTTAAATGTGCTATATAAATAAATGAAGTTGAAGTTGAAGTAATGTGTTGGATGAGAATGGCTGATAAATACATGAGATGTGTGTATGAGAAAAACTGCCCATGGCTTTGTTGTCTGCATGTAATACTGTATGTCTCAGAGCTGCAGAAATACTGTTTTCCTCCAAAGAACAGACAGTTTATGTAGTTCTCACATATGAGAAAGATCAGCACATCTCATTTGATTTGTTGTGTACTTGACCAAATGCAACCTTTTTGTGAATATCCATGTACAATATGTCTGCCAAATCAAAACAATGCAAGTAATGATATACATATATATTTAATGTTGCATACAGTGTGTATGAAATGTTGTTAACATATATAAGCTAATCATTGAATGGTGTAGACAGTGGTGTATGATGCTTGCGGGCAATGACAGGAAATTTATACACAAACATTTACTAACAGCTTGCACCAGTGCAAACCATCTTTTGGCATAAAAAAAACTACTATCAGGATTTACCAAATATGCACGTTGAAAAATTAGCATTCAAAAGGCATGGACATGTTATTTTGATGTTATTGCATGTGCATTTGTAGGAGTTTCTCTTTCAGACAACACTTATGGGAGGATAGGATTTAAATCAATCACGCAACATGATTTACCAGGGTTTGCTGTTATCAGTTTACTGGTATTTGCACCATTATCTAACACCTAAAAAGCATGTCTGAGCCCATTCTGCATCTGTGCTGCTAGCTCTGCTTGTTTGCAACACTAATTTGCACTGCTCTTAGCAACGGTCATTAATGGAAATGGCTTGCATCTGTGTTCTTTAATTTGTTCATTGTCAGTAGATCAGCAGCACTTTTGTTTAGTAAATCTGACCCTTTTGTGCGTCGTGGATCCTAAGCTGTAGTTTTTGAGATTTTGCAAGAACATCTTTGAGACAAACTGATTTCCATCAAAGCTATCTGTGTAATAGAGAAACAATAGCATCTGACATGAACCCATCAATCTGACAGATTCTCTAAAATCAATATTAATACTTGTTTCAGCCAAAAATGCTGAAGGAAGCTTTGATTAAACCTTATCTGTGGCTAGAAAGACAGAAATATAGTTCAAAATAAAACCTCTCCAAGCACCAGATGTAAATGAAAGGAACTAGAACATAACAGATGAATTAAGTTGATGTGAGAGATGCAAATTCAAGACATACCATCTACAAAGAAAATATATCTTCAGAGAAACATTAGCTTTTTTCTCCAGAATTTCTTGTGGCGACGCGTATACAGTTTGTGGATTATTCCTTCCATTAAACCACCAAAACACAAATGTGTTTTAATGTTTCGTTATAGGTGCTGTTTGCTGCAAAAATACAAATACAAAAATACAGCTAAATAATATTTCAGGGGCAAAAGAAAATATTGTGTCAATAAAAGTAATGCAAAAAAAATTTTAAAAGGGTGTGAGGGTTGTCTGGAATTCAATGATGAACACTGGATGCCACATTTTAACTCACAATCTTCTTTTACGAAAACTTACGATGATTAAATCCCTCACGTGTGATTTACATGTTCTTTTTAGCATTCATTAGACTTCCTTTGGCAAATGCAACTCATGCTTACAGTACATAATACTATACCTCAGAATCATAATCAGAGCTCATCCCTGTGCTGTTACGCAAAGTTTCAAAGCACATGCATTTATCCTGAAATTCATCCTTAAACATACAATCCAGTGCTGCTGATATCATGCTAGCACAATAAAGCTCTACTACTTAACGTTTAACACAGCAGCTTCACACACACACACACTCACACACGCTGCTATAAACTGGTGTCTCACATGTTAATCATGCATATTAAAACGCAGGAAACATTTCTGCTTATTTGGTGGCACAGTAAAGCGTACATGCCAAACTCTGAGATCTGTGGCTGGGTGAGAAACTGACAGTCGAGATTGCCTCAGTGTTTTTACCGCCCACATAAATGCCCGTTTGGTGCTGATAACATAATTGCTGAGCGCACACGGCACCCACACAAACACACACACACACACACACACACACAATGCTGCTTATGTGATCGTGTGGAGAGTCCGGGTTCTTCACTGAAACAAACACAACGGTTCACAGAGAAATTTCCACTCCATTACTTTTCTGTAAACAGTTCAAACAGAACGCAAGTGGCTTTATTCACCAGTGATGAAAACACTGCGTTTACTCCACATTCCCATCATGAGTCTGAAGCCAACAGCAGGGAGAGGCTTGACCTCCAAAATATACAACACTGAAAGCTTACACCAAACTCTCCAGCGCATGCTCCCGCTCTGAAACGACGCTGTAGGTGCAGTCAAATGACGGTCATACCTGAGTTCCTCTTGGAGATGTATTTGAGATTGATGGAGGCCGCTGAATTGATGAGGAGGAGCATAAATCCAGCGAGCTTCATCTTCCAGTCGTGTGCAGCTACAAGAAACCAGAAAACACAAGAATAAGCCCTGGTTTCTTTTATTTTATTTTTTAACTTGAACATACAGTATCAAGCTTCTTCATTGTGGAAAAAAATTATAATTTTACGTTAAATATCATACTTTTACAAATCATGATGCAAAACTGTATATTAATATTCTGTCTGTCACACAGACAATCGGTGTGTCATTATTGCAACATGGGCCCATTGGAAAATGTGTCTTTGCCTATATTTTTGCTCGTTGGCTTTTCACCTGTGTCTCTTCTAATTGCGTGTCTGTGTGCTCTCAGCTTCTACTGTTGCCGGTCGATCGCTCTAGTAATGGTTGTTTATTTGTCCTGATCTCATGCTGGTTTTCTGCCCAGATCAGTGGAGGGTTCCAGCTTTCAGATCTGCCTTGTCCCCTCTGAACGTGTGCTTCTCTCTGACCATCAGCTGTGAGCACCTTCTGATGATACTGCCCTGCTGGACTGATTACTGCTCATGAACCCTGTCTGTCCTTGACTTCGCTCTCATCTCATCCTCTCGCACTTTCTCTGATTTTTTGGTTTCAACCCCTGCCTGACTGACCTCCCATCTGTCCTTTCTGTCGAGCCCACCCTACATTTGACCTTGATGTTCAATAAAGCACCTCATTTGTGCACAGTACCTACTGTACTGTATACATACACTTTACTGCAGCTTACAGCAGATTATTATAGTGGCAGTAAAACATCAACAACTTTTACACACAAACACAAGCATACTAGTTCTCTGCCCCCCCTTCTGCTTCAGGTTGTCAAAAAAATTACTGGATAATGATTTTGTAATTTCCCATTACAAATAAAATGTTAAAAGCAAAATGCACATTCCTACACAGTCTACACTTTATCCTTCAGAAACATGATACTATTTGCAGAATGTGCAAATCTTAAAAATAGACAGATTATTCTTAGTGTAAACTCCAAACTGCAGAAATTGGCAAAGTCATCTCTACTGTACAGTTTATTTACTGTACTGTTAGTTTTTAATCTGCACCAGCCCAACAGACCTTTAACAAGCAGTGTGATTAGTTTATCTCAGTAACTTGTGCATTTTTATAAATGTCTGTATTGCAAAAGATTATGTTGATAGATATATTTATAGTGCATTTCCTAAAACACTGTTGTCTGTTCAGTGTGAGCAATGCAGTGATGAGAGACACAAGCATTAGCAAACATTAAAGAGCTTGTTCTTACACAGACCATAATGAGAATAAACACCAATACATTTTTCTGTATTTTTTCCTTGCTTGCTAGCACACCAATACCTCAGACTCACACATTATTTAACCGCGAAAGCAGAAATTGTGATGGTGTTAATGCATGATTGCTGTTCACATTGTGTTTTGAAATATGACCAATATCAGATTGAAGTCCTGGGCTGACCTGCATGCACCAAAGAATAATAACAAAGATGGCACACAGCTCACCGTCGAGAGCCACTGATGTTAGTGTCTACACAATACACATTAATTTATAAGATGTGCTGCAGAAGCCAGCAAATTCATGCGGAGGCAATCAGGTGGACAAAGACACTGATGAGGAAATAATATTTGAATATCTGCAAAATTATCCCTCAAGTTTTGCTTGTATAGCAGCTGTCTGCCATATTCACCAGTGACCAATAACTACCAGCATGTAACATCTTTGGAGTGACATACATGTAAAAGTCACATAAATTCCAATATGACTGTTCAGACTGAGGTCACGCTGCAAAACATCTGATATAGTACCACATAAGGAATTGGCTCAAATCAGAATCACACAAATCACACAAAAAAACAAATCATAAATGGGAAACCCGGCATGGATCAAAAGCAGAAGAGTGATGGCAGAATGCTTTTAGAATGGACTCATCTCTCTTTCTGCTATAGGGGCTCTTCAGCCCGTGAGAGTGAAGAACAGTGGCTCAGACCCTGGTTATTGTCACGGTGTGCCTACTGTGACGGAGCGAGTAGACGAAGGAGATTCCAGAATTATCACAGTCTTTACTGACATATAATCACAGGAGTCACACGTAGGACACGGGGATCGACGTTCACAGACATTCAATACCGGACGACCAACTCAAAATAGGACACACTTTAAATACACGACATGACGAGGGGATGATGAGAAACACCTGGGATCAATAAACATAATTGGAACAAGAAACAGGAAGGAGCAAATAAGGGCAAGGAAGGCACATGGGGAGCAAAACACTCAAAACAACAGAGCCTGGAGGCTGGTGCAAAACTGGGACACGGGGAATACCTCCATGGCGGAGCAGGCAGCTCGGGGACCCATGGCGGAGCAGGCAGCTTGGCGTAGGCCTAACTCGGGAACAGTGGCCCTCCCTGGGCTTGACTTGGGGACTGGAGCCCTCCTTGGGCTCAACATGGGAACTGGAGCCCTTTCTGTGCTAGACACGGGGACTGGAAACTTCTCTGGGCTAAACTCGGTGACTGGAAAGCCAGAACAGAGAATTGATGGTGGTGTCATCCAACGCCCGCAGCCTGCAGGATTCCCAGGCGTACTCGAAGAAGGAGAGATCTCTGCAGGCTAAGGCGGAGAAACGAGCGGCGATTTCCATGATCGTGGAGGGAAACAAACAGGAAACAAAAACTGTTAAAAAAAATGGAAAACAAACAAGGGGAAAGGGGGCGCTGCTTTCTGTTCTGTTTTTGGTCCGATATTCTGTCATGGTGTGCCTACTTCTAACCATTAGGCCACAACTTCCCCCTATATGATTTGGTCGTATAGTGAACATCAGGGTAAATTTTTCTGTCAGTTACCTTTTACATGATTTTTTTATATGTAATTAATTTGTCATTAAAAACATCTCTAACTTGTTGTACATCATTCAAACACATGATTACCCAGTAGCCAAATGTTTATGACAGACCAGATCACTCTGGCATCCAACTTTTTATTTATGCACTACTGAAGAACAAACGCTCTAAATCGACTCTTCCAGATATGCGTGTGGTATCATGGAAAGATAAAACAGGCTTTATAATGTTCTTAAAAGTAACCACACAGTTACATTTAGGCGATGCACAAAAAAGACCAAGGACATTGGTACCCTGCTTGATTTAAGAGCTGTAAACCCAGAAGAGCTTGAATAAAAAGAACAGCTGTACACACCGAAGCAAACTCCTGAAAGTGCACTGCACAGAGACGTTTTCATGTAAAAAGCTACAAGAAGTTATATGTATGTGCGTGAGTCAAGCTGCATGTCTGTTTATGGTGCGTTGTTACCAGCCGAGAGCCCATTAAGCACTCTTTTAGGGGATGCACTGAAAAATTCAAAGACTTTTTCTCAAAGCTTCCCCAGGAAAGAATACATCTACAATAAGCGAGGCCATGGCTCTTCATGAACATCAAACTTTCTGCCAGGAGCTGAGCTCGCTGACGGTCTAATTTAGCCTTCTACAGTCTTCCACAGTATCTTTGCAGACACGTTTTCAAACAGCCCGTCCCCTGATGCTGCTAAACATCTCCACGGTATAGCGCTGTAGGATTTGCTCCAGACGGAATAGCCACACACACGGCTATTCTCAAATAAACAGGCGCAGGTCTGAGGCATTCACAGGGCTGCCATCTGCTCGGGCAGCATTAACTCTGATAGAATTCCCCGGTGAACACAGCTGAAAGTGAATTCTGTATTGAGGTGTAACACGCAGGACTGACTCCATCTAAAGCGGGCTGAAGCCAGAGCTGGGCCTCGTGGGAACACTTTTGTGTTCACTTCAACACCAGGGTATCCAGCTAACCTGATCAATGCTGCCCCGCTCAACAGTCTTATACAGCTTGCAGAAAAAATGCATTGGGCCCTTTTTTCTTCACATTATTCAATATTGTTCAACTGCAAACATAAACTTGATTTTTACGTTTTTGAAAGAAAATGTGAGTGTAATCTGTGCAAAACTCACTGCCACAGTGCTTTTGTGTTGCTAGGCAGTTGCTAAGGTGTTCATTATATGGTTATTGGGGTGGTTTGGTTGGCTGTAGAGCATGTTGTCCGTTTTCATAATCCACCATCAAGAGAAGTTTGATATCTTATGCTGAGTTCACACTGCACGATTTTAGCCCCGATCTTCACTCGCTGACAGGTTTTGGGAACCCACATTCTGAAGAGACAGAGAATCTCACAAAATGGATAAAGATACATTATTGGTGGTAATTATTAGTGTATTTTAATTTGTTTACAAGAAGGATCCATCCAAATGATGGCTAAATAATCCTTCACCACCTAAAGATGTGACAAAGCTGCTGATGATGACAAAAGTTTAATTGTGACAATATTCAATTATGCACATGTAATATACTGTATAGGCTACTGTATAATTTATTTCTTGAGAAGTCAGTTTGATTTAGTGTACAAAATCAAGTAGTGTCAATCATCATTTATCAAAGAAACTCATACAGGTTTGTAGCACATGAGGGTGAGTAAATGACAGAATTTTCAGTTTTGAGTGAGCTATCCCTTTAATGATGTATTTAAGTGAAAGTGAAAGTGACGTGACATGTGGCCAAGTATGGTGACCCATACTAAAAGCATTTTAGAGATGTCTGTCTAAATACTAAAACCAGAAATTTTTGTCCTTCAAATAGACTTCTAAAAAGTTTTTTTTTGTTTTGTTTTGTTTTGTTTTCAATCATGGTTCTAGGCACCAACCGCTCTGCATATTGTGTATGTCTCACTTATTGAACAGACTCGATTTTCAGCTTCAGATCCATGAACTGAACTATCAGAATAGAAACACACAACATGTATGTCTTTTACATCTTTGTAGCCGATTCAGTGTCTATGCTTATCTAAGGTAGAAACCTCATTTTACATAAAATACAAACAGATTCTCATGAGATCACGTTGAGATAATATATTAAAAAAATAAAATAAACTTAAGAATATGACAGTGTATGTAAATCATGTAGCTGAATTCTATATTTAGACATTAATACTGTATACTGAAAGTTTTTTTTATATATAT